AGGCTCAGACCTGTTCTTAAGACTTGCATCAGCACATTAGCTACCTGCAAGCGCTGCATTTGCAGCTCTATACACCTAAAATCAAAAAGGTAGGCGTTTCTCAAGCATTCCTAGGTAAAACGGTGAATGTAAAATATATCCACGAACCAAGCACACCACAGATGTCGAAAGCCAACCTAACTAACGGTATTGGGCGGCCAAACAAACCCTTTCCGTAAAATATGTGGGTAGATACGCAACCAGAGATGTCAAGTTCCACTTACATCTGTGCGTCATTTTTCAGCGCATATCCACCCAAGGCGATCTTAACCCTTGCCTTTCGAACATTCCTTGTCTTGAAGCCTCTGTGCACGTTTTGGGTGAGATTCCGCATGCTTTTGCTTGCTTTTTGCTCATGCTTTTGCTTTTGCTTTTGCTCTGCTTTTTGCTCATGCTTTTGCTTTTTTGTTGCTCATGCTTGCTTTTTCAAAATTTCTTCCAAATATATGAATCCATGCGTCTATAAAGAAGTGAGGCAGTAGACAGTGGGGCTCCCTACTTTGTAGGCACGTTGTACACTGTGAGCGGTTGCGAATCGCACCGTTGTTACCCCTTTTCTCGGAGAAGTCTCGCATTTGCGAGACTGAAAAATACTTTCAGGGTTTTCTACAGTATGACCACATAAAATATGCATGCTTTCCATTGCCATTTCACTTCCTTCTGGTCACAATCCTGTATTAGTGAACCTCTGTGTGAGTCTAACGCATTGAACAGTACTGAATATCTTTTGTTTTGTTCCTTTCCTGCATATCAATCACACAAAATGCACGCATGTGAGGTGAGTGAGGGGGCCGCAATCGCATCTGTCCTATGGGGCCTAAAACTAAGGGAGCGCCGTTGTGAATGTTATCAAATAATGAGAAGAATCAGGTATGGAACTTCAGATTGGAGCAGGCATGTATGGAATGGACGCTGGAACAAAGCAGGAACTGGCCGAGAACTGCACTTCTCTTCTGAAGTCTCCTCATGAGAAATCTTAGCAACTCAAGGACGAGTCTATGGAAATAATGAAGAACCAAGAAAAAAAAACTAGGGAAAAAGTAAAAGGTAAAAAATGAGGTTTTGCGCACTCAATGAGCATCAGCGCAAATCGCGAACCTATTTTAAAGTTCACAGATGGCCATGCAGCTGCTGAGTAGGCAGTCTCGAAGACATTTTCCGTACATGGCTGTTGACAGTCGCACTCGAGCTGAAGGTGATGGTAGCCGCCTGAGGCGCTGATCAGGTTCGATAGACATTGTCCTTAATGAATTTTGGCTTCTTTCTAACAGGTGTTCGAGAATGAATGCGAAGTGGAACTAACTATCAGCGACACTTTTCGCACTGCAGTATCGCTTTTCTTCGGATGGAAGTGGAAATCGCGGATCGCCACAACCGCACTGGTCGAGCACCTTCAATTGGAAACAGTTTCGATGGCAACCCTGAAATAGAAAAACTGTCTTTCTAGAGTGAGAGCAATGTGCGACAAAATGAGGAGCATAACAGGTAAGAAGTGACCTCTGGAGAGTAATGCTCTTCATAGATGTATCGCTCTGGACGGAACGTATCGCTACACGATCCATACGGGGCATCCATTCGATGAAGCACTTTCTGTAATAGGTAAAGCATCGTAGAGATCGGTCACTATGTGGGCCCTGTCGAGAAATGGTCTCAGAATCTGAGACATAGAGCCGAACACAAGGACAGGGTCAGAAACGAGGATGTCAGAGCGGTCATGCAGACTGCCCCTGTCCAGCTGAAGGTGCGGAAGCAGCGTCTGCGATGGTATGGGCACGTGCTAAGGAGGCCACAGGATCATCCGATAAGAAAAGCGATGGACTTCGAAGTGCAAGGCAAGCGACCGCGAGGAGCCCCAAAGAAGAGGTGGAGAGACGTGATCAAGAAGGATCTAAGTGAAGTCATGGCCACAGCAGAGATGCCCTGGACAGAGCGAAGTGGCGACTGAAGAGGACGCCCTG